CCAAAACCCTGAGTTTCCATGGTGACAGTCAAATTGCAAATCCAGCCAAGAGTAAGCAGGGGGAAGGAAAAGCTGGCCTCTCCCCAGCGAAGTGGGCACGGCTGGCACTGGAGTTGGCGCTGCTGAGGACAAGCTCCAGGCAGGCAGGCAGCCCTTCTGGACCACGGTGGGGAAGTCTCAGGGATGCCAGGAATCCAGCAAGTGGCTCAGGCCACTGTGGAGGGAGCTCCTCCCCCACCCCTGTCTCTTGGTGGCACCGGGTGACTCCATCTGATGATACTTCTTTCTCAGAAAGACTATTGGGACAGGTTTCTCCCTGGTGTTCTCCCATTTTCCATCTGAAAATTCAGGTGTGGGCAGAGTACAGGGCCCCTCGGTGAGCCATCCCAGACTCAGCCTTTGGGGAATTAAGGAGAAAAAAATAGATCAGCCTTAAGACACAGAGTGTTACACTGAAGATGGAAGAGTAAGAGCCGAAAGATGTATGAGCCTGAAGGCTTTGTTAATGGACCTAGAAGATTGACAGTACAGCTGCTGTGCGGGGAGAAAGGGGGCAACAGCCATTGAATGGCAAATTAGGCAAGGTTTGGGTTTTACAGTGATGTTTCCAGAGTGGGGGTAGAAGGGAAGACTGCTTCCTTCGCATCCTGAGGAAGCTGGGGACGTTTGGCATTTGGTGTTCGTGGTGGGCCAAGGACTTCTCAGCAGGGTCCTTCAGTGTAGGCCTTCTGCACTGGCAGTGAACCCAAGGCTGGTGTGGGCACCGCTGACTTCCTCTGATTAATTTCTTTCGAGTGGTGTTTATTAGAGTGGATTAGAAATGGGATTTGGGTTTGTACCACAAAGACCTCTAAGCCCCAGCTTGAAATCGCAGACACAATGAGCAGAGAGGCTCCAGCTGGGGAGAAGCATCTGAAAGCTGTGAGCCTGTTTCACTGGCTGCCTGGTACCTACTCTGTGTCACCTTTTCGAGCTCAGTTGGCATCGGAGGCTCTTCCGCCCTTTTACATGGTTGTGGCCCTTTGGGGTCTATATAAAAGGAGACGAAGAACAAGCCAGCTGACTGTAACTTGGGAATGGTTTCTACATTTTTTTGTTGTTGTTAACCCTTGTGCACACAGGCACACATGGGGACTAGGTCATGAGGCACCCTGACCCTAACCGCACCTCCAGGGTTGCTGTTTGGGTAAAATGCACAGCTCACAACAAACGCCGTTCTCATGACGAGGCGCGGCACTGTTCACGGTTTTCTTGCGGTTTTCGCCTGCTTCCAGCCCGACTCTGTGACCACATGTGACAGATGACAACAGGGCAGGGATGATGGAGAGGGTGAGCCCACCTCCCTAACCCAGTCCTGGGACATCCCATCCTGTCGCCTCCTTCCGAGTCCTTTGGCATCTGCCCCTTTTCACCAAAGGAACCAGGTAGAGCAGCATGGAGCTCCACACCTACTCCAACCCCGGACTGTGTAGATTTTGCATATCAGCCATAGGCGAGCTGGGCCAGTTCAAGTCAGGAAGCATGACTGGATCTCCCATAAGCATCTCTCCCAGAGAGAGGCAGAGACCGACCTGGAGGTGAGCCACCCCCCTGCAGGGACTCTCCTGCTGTACACTGAAGTGGCCTGGCCTCCACTGTGGCTGCCTCAGGGGTGACATGGGGAATGGCCTCCTCCAGGAGTCCAGCAGGAATCCCTGCCTTCTGCCACCTCCTCCTACCCCTTTTTCATGGGACCCATGAGGTTGGCATCTAATCAGTGAGTCAAAAACTACATAAATGCTTATGAAACTGACGCCCATGAGGTCCAGTCTTGGTAGATTCATGATCAAAGTAGTTCAGTCCAGGACCTGAAAAACGACTGCAAAATGAGGCAGGTTTTGCTGGCATTTCTTACATACTAGGAAGGGGCATGCTCCATCCCCTCTCCTTTTGATGCTGTGTCACAGAAGTCTGAGGAATCAAAGCAGAACTCTTCCTAGAGAGCAGGGCAGAAAAAGGCAGAGCCTTTGAGCAGGTGGAGGAAGGAAAGGCCAGGCCCCATCCCATGCTCACCACTCCTGCCCCAGGGCACAGGTCAGGCCCACAGAGAGGAGAGCCACACCCAGCCTCGTTTGCCTGTATGATTTGGTCCCTGCCCTCAAACCTCTCGACCTGTGGGGGAAACAAAGAGGGCAGAAAATTGGTGCAGCTGTAGCAGAGAGCATAGGGAATCCAGCCAGCCAAGGCACAGGGGAGACTGAGGGCTTCCTGGAGGAGGTAGTTTTCTAACTGAGCCAAGAGAAGACAGGTGGGCAGGGCGTTCTGGGCAGAGGCAAGCCAGTCCCAGCCAGAGGTGGCGGCAGGACCCACAAGCCGCAGGAGGCTGGAAGCTTGGGGGAGACACTGGGTGGCATGGGATGCAGCTGGAAAAGTAGACAAAGGCTGGGAGCCCGGTGAAGCCCTGGGGGCGTGGGGAACCTTTAAAGAGGGTGAAGCTGGGACCTGTGCTCTTGTTGGAGCATCCCCTGGCTATGCAGAGAACACACCATGGGGTGCCTGCAAGTGGGACCCAGGTGGGGCATCCTCACAGGAGTCCAGGTGGTAGGAGCCAACAGCTCGAGTTAAACAAGACAGTGACAGCGAGGAAGCAGCCAATTCAAGAGCCATTTCTATGAAACTGGCAGGACATGAGGAGAAAAGAGGCAAGACTACACATCCCTGAGCTTCACGAAGCACCTGCTGTGTGCTGGCTCCTCTGTTGGGTGCACAGGGTTAAGAGTCTCCGGGTCTGCCTGGAAACAGCTCCAGCCTCTTGGGGTATACAGGGTTGAGAGTCTCTGGGTCTGCATATGGCAGCCAGCTCCAGTGTCTGAGAGTGCACAGGGTTAGGACTCTCCGGGTCTGCCCGGCACCAGCTCCAGCCTCTGCTTGCTTGGTTCCAAGACCCTTGATTCCCTTATTTGAAATGTGACATAGGCTGAATGCACGAAGGCTTTCCAGGAGCCTCTGGATCTCCATGGAAGCTACCATTTCCCACCCCAGTGCCCACGGTGGATTTTCCTAACTAACCAGGTACTTTGTCCCACTAAGTTTCCATGCGGTCTTGGAATTCTCCCTATACACTACTCCAGAAAGGGCTTGGTGGATCAAATGTCACCTGCTAGCCTCCCTTGGTATAGATCGATGTTTCCAGTCTCATCTCCCACCAACGGGTACTGTGGCTCAGGGCTGTCTGGAAGACTGAGGAGGATGACGCTCACTAAGAACCCAGCACAGCGCCTGGAATAGGAGCTTCAACCCATCCTAACCTTCCTCCAGAACCACCAGCATTTGGCATTCCCCAAGGAAAACACTGACAGGCACCTGATGACTCCTGCCCCATCTGCTGAGTTTCTCGCCTGCGAAGCTGGTTGCCCTGATCCAGACCTTTCTGTGCAGTTGTACTAGGCATTGCAATGATATCACTTAAATAAATGTTATGCGAATTGACAGAGTCAGAAAAGAGACAGAATAGTTTCATGAAAACCGAGACTTTGGAAAGTCTTTTTTTTTTTTTTTTTTAAGATGGTGTCTCCCTCTGTTGCCCAGGCTGGAGTGCAGTGGCACAATCTCAGCTCACTGCAACCTCTCCTTCCCGGGTTCAAGTGCTTCTCCTGCCTCAGCCTCCTGAGTAGCTGAGACTACAGGTGCCTGCCACCATGTCCAGCTAATTTTTGTGTTTTTAGTAGAGACAGGCTTCCACCATGTTGGCCAGGCTCTTCTTGAACTCCTGACCTCAGGCGATCCACTCATCTTGGCCTTCCAAAGTGCTGGGATTACAGCATGAGCCACCGTGCCCGGCCCTGGAAAGTCTTAGTGGAAGCAACTTGCTTTATAAAAATCTGTGGAATTAGGGATGGGCAGGACAACTGTGAAAACAAAAAGGAAGAGATGGAGATCCTCCTCACAGCACACAGAGAAAGGGAGATTCTGCAGTTGTCCTCCTTCGCTAGGGTCTGTGGGTCCTGCTGAAATTCAGAGAAACTGCAACTGGGTCGAAGACAACACAGCACGGTGCAGTTTATACACAGGAGGCCGCGTGGGCCAATCTTGCAGGAGCACCCAAGCCTGGCATCGAAAGATTGGTGAATGGTGTGCATTTCTGTGTTTAAAATGAAAATAGAACGTTTAACAGGTGGCTGCATCCTGCATCATGACTCCACTGTTGATTAGCCAGCCAAACATGGTCCGATTTAGCCCAGAAAAGAGTTTCTCCCACGGTGGGTGTCCACTGTGGCAACATCCTCGCCTCCCCCTGCTGGGATTCCAGCCCCATCCTTCTGGCTCCCTTCCACATTTGCAAGACCCCACTTCGAGTTTCTGGATGAACTGGGATAAGAGCCCAGGCTTGCCACCTCCCACTTCAGTTCTTCCAGTGAAATCAGGACTGTGAGCATGGCCTGCTGTGAGGAGGATCCCGGCTCTTCCCCTTGGGCGTGTGCCCCTGTTGTTTTGCCCGTGGAATGGGGGTAATGCTTTTTCCTACCTCAGAGTTGTTCTGAAGTTTCGGTGAACATGTCTGTGGAACGTGCCTGGGATGCTCCCTCAGGTCAGGCCTGACGCCACCCTCATCCCCACAGAGCATCGCCTTGGGCCTTCTGCCTCACCGGGTGGAGGCTTCAGAGCTGCTGTGTCCACAGTGCCGTGATAATCAGCCTCCACCATGGCGGGCAGGTTCTGGTTCCGTACTGGGAACTAAAATGGGGCTGACGTGTGAAGATGGCTGGCCAATAGGTGAACTCTCTGCTGGTCACGCTGAGCCTCTGAGTCCCAGCCTCCTCATGCCAGGACTCCCCTCTGTGGCCAGCAGAAATGCATGCCCTCCCGTCCCCAGGCCATTGCTTCTCCTGCCCAAAGCAAAAGGGCCAGCTGGACTGCTACACTACTTTGTCCCAAGCTGGGGAGGCCTGTCCTGGCCCCTGTCTGTGCCTGCGGCAGTGTCTGGTTGCATGACTTCCTGTGCTGTGGTTTATCTTTTCCAGGGGTTTCCAGTGACAGTGACAGTGACTCGGATCTCAGTTCCTCCAGCCTAGAGGACAGACTCCCACCCACTGGGGTCAGGGACCCAAAAAGTGACAAACCCTGGAGGGAGTCAGGTAAGGTGGGGAGTAACATGCTGCTTATTGGTCAGGTGCAGTGGCCATGCCTGTCATCCCAGCTCTTTGGAAGACCAAGGTGGGCAGATCATAAGGTCAGGAGATCGAGACCAGTCTGGCCAACATGGTGAAACCCCATCTCTACTGCAAATACAAAAATTAGCCAGGTGTGGTGGCCTGTGCCTGTAATCCCAGCTACTTGGAAGACTAAGGGAGGAGAATCTCTTGAACCCAGGAGATAGAGGTTGCAGTGATTGCATTCCAGCCTGGTGACAGCAAGACTTCATCACCCTCCATCCCAAAAAATGCTGCTGCTTTTCAAAGTTGCTGCTTCCCAGCAGGTTTCCACAGAGTTCTACATCTGGAAGGAGAAGCAGGCCTAGGGATGGGTGATGAGGCTTCTTGAGGCTCCTCTGTCCACACAGTGGGGGAAGCAGGGCAGGTGGACAACGGGAGGCAGGGCTGGCACACCTGGGACTCCTCCCACGCTCACCTGTGAGGGTTCCCCAGCTGAGAGGTTGCCTCTTGAATCCTGAGAGTGTGAAAATCAGGGACAAAGTTCCCTGCATGAGCTCAGTTCTACCATGAAAGGACCTGCCATGACCTCTGGGCCTGCATTTTCTTCTCGTTAGCAAGTGAGACGGACTTCAAAACCAGGAAGGACTTTGGAAAAAGAGCCAGCTTCACTGGTTGGAACTGGGATCTTTGAAAGAAATTTCAGGGAGGCCAATTTTAGTACTTAGGAAGAAAGGGCTCTATAATAACTGCCCCGAATGGGAATGAAATGCCTTGGGGGTCCTGTCTTGGGACCAAGACTGGGTTGGGAATGGAAGTGTGAGCTAAATCAGAGCTAGCAGAGGCCTGGCACATGGATCACCACTCCCCACTCCCATGACCATGGCAGGCGTTACTAGGTGGTCACAGAGCCCTGATGAGCCCTCAGAATCCTCCTCAGTGCAGTTTTCCAAGTGGCCAATATCAGTAGGTAGAGATGGTATAAGAGATGAAAACTTTCCCTGGACCAGTGACTTCAGGCTGAAGAGTCTAGAGATTTAGAAGAGTATAAAGGAAACTTACCTGCCAGCCTAGGTTTCCAGAGCAGGTTTTATACTCACCCCTCCTCCCATCATGAGCTCTGGTCCCCTCGATCCACACCCACCCTCAGCTCTGACCACATAGGACTGGGAGTCAGGAAAAGGTCAGCAAAGTAGTGGGCTCCACGTCTTCTCTCTTGGCCAGGCAAGGACCAAAAACCAGGTTTGTGTGAGGATCGTTTAGTGAGTTAAGGCAGCCATCAACATCTCTCTCATTAGGTTAACCAAAATATGCATCCCCACCCTTATCCCCAGTCTGTGATCATTGTGGATTTTCATGTTGGTGACTTGTGACTTAATGAAACGACCTACATACAGGCCTGTTCTTGGACCCGGTAGCAGTGGTCAGAGGGTGGGGTCATGTGGGTGGGGTGGGGGGCAAACATCCCACAGAGACCCACCATGGTTCCCAACGAGGACCTCGACTGTGATCACCCCATCTCAGTTTGAGACCCACGGGGCCCACGTGATTTCCCACAGGTGGCAGCGAGGATGCCCCCAGGATGGGGCTCATCCGCCCGCCCAGCCACCTCTCCGTGAGCCAGAGCAGCCTGGCCAGTGAGACCGGGACAGGCTCTGCTGACCCACAGGGCACCCCGCCCCGGGCTGACCTGAAGGGCCCTGGTGAGTACCCGGCTGCTGCCTTCTCCCCTCTCCTGCCCCCCCGGCCACGTCCTTTCTCACTCACTCCTCCCAAACTGGAGGGTGGTGGGTGACATGGTCAGTGCTTTATGTTTACTGAGCACTGTGCTGGGGACCAGGTGAACCAGACCCCAGCCTGGCCTGCCAGGAACAGAGAGAGGGGCCCAAATTGGTCATGGTAGTGATTCTGTAGCCACTTGGTAATTCCAGCAGTGGTTACCATCCCCTGCATTATAAAGCATTTCCCCATCTCTGTGACGGCTTTGCTATGATACTACATCTCCCGCTCAAGGGCACCTGCTATGCGCCAGGCAGTCAGTCCTCACTGAGCCTCAGCAAGTGCCCAGCCTGAGCTGGGAGCCAGGTGGGACAGCTCTTGCCCTCCCCAAACCTGCCACATAGCAGAGGAAGCCACAACAACCCCTTGGAAACAGAGCCCAGCCCGGAGCTAGCCCAGGTCATAGGAGGGAGATTCCAGAGCCATAGGGCCTGGGACACAGAGCCCAGCCTGCCTGGCACCTCTGGGGTAAACTTGCCTTCTTTTGGCAGAGTGGCTGGGAGGCTTATCGTCCCCATCTGATGGGCGGAGAAACCAAGGCATGGAGAGAGTGAGGGGAGAATCCTGGGATCCCACTCTGCCCTGTACCTGCTGGCCCCAGCCCTGGCCGGCCCAGGACCATCCTGTGACAGGGAAGGGGGTCCTCCTTACACTGAGGCCAGAGAAAGCTGTGCAGGTGCAGGATCGGCCTTGTCTCCTTCAAGAAAGAAGCCCCAGGTGGGCTGGGCCCTTCCCTGGCCTGAGGATTCACAGGTCCACACAGGGCGGTGGCTAATCTCCCTTCCAGGTGGAGGGCACCCAGCAGCCACTGAGGGAATGCCTCTCCCACTTCCCACCCCCACTCAATTTGTGGGTACACACACGCACCAGGGCAATGGCCGATCTCCCTCCCGAGGTGTGGAGGGCACCTGGCAGCCACTGCAGGAATGCCCCGCCTGCCTCCCCCGCCTCCCCTCCCTGACTTGATGGTTCCCCAGAAGTTGCAGAGCACCAGGAGGCATCTTTGCTGTGGAGCAGACCTGCCCCCTCCCTCTAGCCTCCTAGGGGTCCTCCACAGAGGTTAGAGGTCACTGTGGATCAGGCAGCCTGAGTCGTTGTCCCAGCCCTGCCACCTACAGCCACGGGATCTTGAACAGACCCCCCAGGTTGAACCACGTGAAATTGCTTTTTTTTTGAGACAGGATCTCATGCTGTTGCCCAGGCTGGAGTGCAGTGGTGTGATCACAGCTAGCTCACCTACAGCCTCAACCTCCTGGGCTCAAGCAATCCTCCTGCCTCAGCCTGCAAAGTAGCGAGGACTATAGGCAGGTGCCACCATGCTCGGCCATTTTTTGTGTGTTTTTCAAAGAGATGGGTCTCTCTGTGTTGCCCAGGCTGGTCTCAAACTCCCGGGCTCAAGCAGTCCTCCCACCTTGGCCTCCCAAAGTGCTGGGATTACAGGCAAGAGCCACCGCACCAAACTGAAATTGCATTTTTTTGGTTCAAAAACAGTGAAATATCAGTAATTCGATATGGTTCACCCTTATATTTGATCTCTCTGCACCCAGTTCTGTTATCGATAAGGTGTCCCTCACAGGATTCCAGAGAGACAAAATGTAGTGTCCACACAGACTGCCTTCCCCTAGGGGTCCTCTGGGGGGTAATAAAGGGGAAGCCATGTGGCCCAGTGCGGAGAGAGGGTTCCCAGGCTTAAGAAACAGCTTGGAAAGGATCAGCTTGGAGGAGGATTTTCTATTTCTGTGTCCGTCTGCTCCTTCCGGCATTTTGGGGTTGCTGTGTTGGTCACCTGGGTTGGGAGGTGGCCTGAAGCCCAGAGTGACTGGTGACTTTGCCGCCATCACACAGCAGCGCAGAGCAGTGTGGTGCTGGTCTCGAGCCTGAGTGCTGTCAGCAGAAGCCCACTTTCCCCACCAGCCCTCCTTCTCATTCCCAAAGGCCCCACTGTCACTGGGGAGGGAGGGACTCCACCCTTGCTCACCGAGTGGTGGCCTTTTCTTTCCTCCAAAGGTAAAAGACACACCTGGGCCAGCCCCCGCTACTGATGTGGCTCCAGTAGGCCCCTCCAGCTGCCTGGGCTGAGGCATTGGGTGCCTGGAACAGACTTCCGCGTGGAAGATTCTGGACTAAGCTGGAACCAGACCCTGCGAGGCTGCTGCCGGACAGGTCCCTATGCCCTCGCCAGCCACCCTGTTGCCCATGACGCAACAAACCAGTGTTGGGAGCTGTCTACATCCCCACCCAGTGCCTTTCTGTACCCCTTCTTTCCTGGGGGGCCTTCTGCATCCACCACCCCTCCCACCGCTGCCCTCAACCCCAACCTTATTTATTGGCCCCCCCCACAACCCCAACCTACCTTGTGATTATTGTAAGTTTGCTTGGGTCTTGGGTTGGGCTGGGGCGGGGGGTACTTCCCACATGCAAGTCAGAGGGGCAGCCAGGTGGAGCTTTCTCCATTGCTATATTAATGGCAAGATGAAATGAAACCTAGGGCATGGCCTCTGAAGCTGCGTGTGGCCCTTAGAGGTGAGCACTGGAGCCAGAGCAGCGCCCACCTCCCCTCCCTTCAGTGGGGTGTGAGATTCACCCACCTCCCCCTCTCTTCAGCTCTGGCAGGCAGGAGCAGGACCCCCCCTCCCTTGGGCTGGCCCAGGACTGCAGGTGAAACCTGGAATTTTTAGGGTTCTTTGGTTTTTGTGTGTTTGTTTCTGAGATGGAGTCTTGCGTGTCATCCAGTCTGGAGTGCAGTGGCATGATCTCAGCTCACTTCAGCCTCTGCCTCCCAGGCTCAAGCGGTTCTCCCACCTTAGCCTCCTGAGTAGGTGAGATTACAGGTGCCCACCACCATGCCCAGCTAATTTTTGTATTTTTAGAAGAGATAAGGTTTTGCCATGTTGGGCAGGCTGGTCTCAAACTCCTGGTTTCAAGTGATCTGCCTGCCTTGGCCTCCCAAAGTGTTGGGATAACAGGCGTGAGCCCCTGCGCCCGGCCCTATTAGGTTTATTTGAATCCCTTCACGGCCCACCTGGTTTTTGCTCAGCCTGTCTTCAGCTTGAGGAGCTGTGAATGGTTCTGGTGGATGCTGTTAACTCACTGCAGAGCAGCCTTCAGGCAACTCCCCGGCCAGGGCATGTGGCTCCCCTCAGCCATTAGTTCACTTCTCTTCAGTAGGTTTGGCTTGGCATGCAGATACTTCAGAGTACAGGCAAATGCTTCTGGAAAACCCTTCCCTGAAGAGAGAACATGTGGGGGACGTGTGCATGACAGTGTCCACACCCGCCCTCCTGCCTCCCCCACCCCACCCCCAGGTCCCTGGGTCCGGAAGGGCCTCATTCTCTCCAAGCTGGGAGCTCCTGGGCCCCCACCATTCACTTTTTGTCCTTGCTGCTGGCAAATGATAAAGAAACTCACTTTCCCTGTGACACATTATGCTTCAGAATTAAAACAATGAAGGTTAAAATTTGCATTGAGCCAGTGTGTTGATCAAAAGACCACAATTGCCTGTGTTTCTGAGATGCATCAATAGAAAATAGATGGAAAAAACTGTGATGCATTGACTTGCTGGAACACTTCCTAAGCCGCAGAGAAAGGAGGGGCTAGATCTGTGTGTGTTCATGCAGCTCACACACCTGACACTGCACGGATAAGCAAGGCCATCTACATACTAAAGGAAGTATTTCACAACACAGATAATCACAATGAGTTCTATAAACATACGTACGTATGCAAAAATGAATTTTAAATGGACAAGGACTGCTGGTTACATATGGTGCACTGAATATATTCATATTTTCCTCTGTCCCTTAAAACCCCACTAGAGTGACATAAAGGAATGAAAATGGCATTAACCACAAAGAGAAAAAGAACAGGAGAGAAGATGGCAACGGATGGCGACATCTGAAGAGCTTTGGAAGCTGGAGCGGTATAATTCACTTAATGTCAGCCCCAAAATGTCTACAAAGAAGGAAGCCACGCATGAACAAGCCTATTTGCTCTGCAGAATACCCCAAATGCACAGAACTTAGGGGGCCAAGTGTCCCTAACAGGGAAGTTAAGCGTGGGTCTGAAAATTGTATTGATTGAAAGAAGTCTTTAGACCTCAGGTCCCGTCTCCCGGCCTGGGGACTGCCCTTCCCTGAGCATGGTGGGAGACAGGTGTACTGCCGGCCAAGGGTGATCTGAAAAGATTCTGGACTGGGGACCCCAAGCCTTGTCAAAGGCCAGGGCAGGGCACCTAACTGAAATCAGGATGTTAATGGGGACTCATTAAAATCCCTGAAAGGGACTGATAAAAGCTAGGCCTGGTCCCCATCCGTCCACCCTCAAGGCAGGACATTATTGAATTTACCTCTGGAAAACTGATGAAAGAGAACAGATGGGCAGGTCCTGACACTGGGGGTTCCGCAAACAGTATCTCTCTGCCCAGTCCACTGTGGGTCCCCCAGTCCACGAGCCCCACCCACATGTTCAGTGCTTTGTTGCCTTTCACTCACTATATAGATTTGTATTTTTTATATGTCAGAAATATTTCAAAGTAAGAAAATTAAGGAACTATACCAAACCTTCTTAAGAAATTTCAGGACACCAGGATAAAGGGAAAATATCCCAAAGCCTTCCAACGAAGAAGAAAAAAAAGGTCACACACAAAGAATCTGGAATTTAAATGGCCCTGAAATTCTCAAAGCAAATTTTGAAGCCAGAGCACAATGAAGCAGGATCTTCTGAATTCTGAGGGGAAACAATTTCTAATTTAGACTTTTCTATCCAGCTAGAACTTAGTGAAGTGTGAAGGTAGAATGAAGATACATTCAGACACATGAGTTCCTGAAAAATATCACCCCCCTTGCCCTCTTTCTCAGGCAGCTACTCCAGGATGTGCTTCCATGAAACAAGGGAGAAAACCAGGGGAGAGGGTACGTTTCCACAGGAAATGAGCCCGACACAGGAGAGAACGCTCAAGATGATGGTGGAGCTGGGTGGCTGGGCTAGAGGCCAATGCCAGCCAGCCCAGAGGAGGACAGGAGGTGCACAAGGACATACAAGAAGCTTATGTGTGTCTGGGAGATCACATATGAGAGCTATGTTATATTTTATAATACATAATGCTCTATAAAATTACAAAATCAAGGTGGAATCCACATGAGATTTTAGATGCCATGGGACTAAAAAGAGTTGAAAGGGTTACCTTGAGACAGACTCAAGGTGAGCAGGGCATTCCTGCTTTATGATATAAACTTTGTAGGAGAGTTACCCTTTTAAAATAGTAGACTATATTCCATTTATAACAATTAGGTTTTATGGAAAAATAAGCATCAAACTCCTGATGAACCCACAAGGCAGGGGAATGGGCAGTGAGAGCCCCGAGGCCATAGCAGATGAGTGAGTAAACACCTGCCTGGCAGAGAAACGACAGCTTGTGGGCTGCCCAGAAGTCCCTGTGTCCACACCCGACCTGGGAACAGCAGCCTGGGAGAGGCTCAGGTCTCTGTCCGTCTGTCTGTCTGCAGCTCTCAACTGCAGGTGCTCTGCCCACGTCTCTCGGACCGAAGCCCTCTCAGACCTGCTGCAACACGAGCCCCCACACTCAACCCCACCAGAACCCCGAGCCTAGGGCAGACCCAGTCCCTGCAGCCCCAGGTCATTTCCAAATGCATTTCCTAGAGAGGCATTGATCAAGACGACTTCATCTTGGAATTGTCAGCTTCAGAGCTGCTGTGTCCCAACCGGGACAGATGCATGATCCCAAGCTGTTGCTCAGCCCTGGAGCACAGGCCCAGCAGGTTAGAGCCATTTCCACCCCAGAAGTGGAGGCAAGCATCCTGCCCACCTGAGAAAATGCCCACTTTCTGGCCTTGCCTCTCAGGGTTCTCAACAGCCTGCCCTATTTGTCCTGCCTGTTCCCGGCTCTCTGTGAACCATGGTGGCTGCGGTGTGTTCTGCCGAGCAAGGTGAGGCAGGCTTCAGAGAGGGAAGCTGCCTGGCTCCAGGAGGGAGGCCTATCAAGACTCCAGGCAGCGCCCTCCCTGGCTCCCCAGCTTCCTTCGCTGCAGCCCCACATCCTCTCCCCAACTGAGTTTTGTTTGCTGACAACAAACAGCCTCAGTTCCACAGAGTGAAGGCCAGGGAGAGAGGAAGCATTTTGCTGTGCTGGGACGGTCATCACCATCAAGGCCACCTTTTGTTGAGTCAGTCACCTGCCATGAGCTTTAGGGAATCCTCGCCTACGGGGTAGGGGGGTGGGGCAGTGAGTCAGGGACTTCATTGTTCCCATTTTACAGAGGAGGAAACTGAGGCCCTGAGAGGTCCACAGGGCCTAAATTTGAATCGGGGTAGTCAGATGTCAAAGAGCATACCCTGCAGGCTGCAAGGCCAGGGCTTGATATGGAAAAGTTGGGATTCCAAGGGCAGAGGATGCAGGCTCAGGTGGGGACAGCTGCTGAGTCGGCAGCACAGATGGAAACTTCTAGATGAATGGGAGAAGGTCAGCTCCTCGTTCCACTGGGGGTTTTCCCAATGCTAACGTAACAAATGAGGGTAAGTCTCAGTAGTGCTGCGATGTCGCCCCATTCTGGAAACTGTCTCATGTCTGTGGCCCAGCCTGGGTGTGGACCCCAGGCTCTGACCTCAGTCTTCCTTCGTTGGCACTTGGGGGTGGGTTCATGGAAGCAGCTGCCCTTTCAGCTACAGGGACAGCTTTGACTGGGAGGGTTTCCTGTAGCTTCCATGGATCAAGTGAGCTCTTAGGGCTTTTGGAGCCCAGGGCCTGTCTCTGGGCTGACCTTCAGCCTCTCAGAGGGCTGGGGAAGCCCGGCTGTGGGATGTGGCACCTGAGCTCCGAGCAGGAGAGCTGTGATCCCTCAGGCTCCTATGCCACTCACAGGTGCCCACACTTGTCTCATCTTCCCACAAGCACCGGCCCCCCTTTTTAAAAATTGCAGCAAAATTACATAGAATTTAAGGGTATAGTTCAGCGGCATTAAATACACTATAGCACTGTGTAACCAGCATCATCATCCATTTCCAGAACTTTCCCATGATCCCAAACAGAACCTCTGTACCCCGTGTCCCCTGCCCCAGCCTGAGTAACCACCTTCCCACTTTCTCTGTGACTACCCTGGGTACCTCACCTAAGTGAAATCATATATTCATCCTTTTGTGTCTGGCTTATTTCACTTCACATAGTGTATTCAAGGTCAATTTCTATTGCAGCACCTGTCGGAATTTTATTCCATTTTATGGCTGGATGATATTCCTTGGGGTGTACACACCACACTGTGAATCCATTCACCTGTCATTGGGTTGTTTCCACCTTTGGCTGCTGTGACTAAGGCTGCTGTGAACAGCAGTGTACAGGTACCTGTCTGAGTCCCTTCTTCTAATTATTTTGGGTAAATACCCAAGAGTGGGCTGGGTGCAGTGACTCGTGCCTATAATCCCAGCCCTTTGGGAGACTGATGTGGGCAGATGGCTTAAGCCCAGGAGTTCAAGACTAGCCTAGGCAATGTGGCAAGGCCCCATCTCTATAAAATATACAAAAATTAGCCAGGCATGGTGGCCCACACCTGTAGTCCAAGCTACTACAGAGGCTGAGATGGGGCCTCCCACTTGAGCCTGGGAGGTCGGGGCTACAGTGAGCCATGATTGTGCAGCTGCACTCCAGCCTGAGTGACAGAGCCCGAACTTGTCTCTAAATAAATAAATAAATAAATAAATAAATAGCTACCCAGAGGAATTGTTGGATCCTATGGAAATTATAAGTTAATTGTTTTTAGGTCCACCATAGCACAGTTCGCTGAGGCTCACCACTTCACATGCCCACCAGCAATATGCAGGGTCTGCCTTTCCTTTTAAAGCAGGATGCCATCCTCCTGAGCCCCTCACTAGCCCAGAGTGCACCCCCGCCCCCGGGAGCTTCGGCTCTTCCTGTGATGGCTGGAGCCCTCCTGGCCTCAGTGCTGGCCTGTGGACACACGTTGTGGGCAAGAAGGGACTCGAAGGGCCCTGGGCTTGGTTCAGTGATCTGCTGTCACCATCTGAAAACACTTCATCATGTTGAATAAGGGTCCCCCATTTTTATTTTGCACCAGGCCCTACAATCATAGGGCGGGTCCTGCCTAGCCTGGCTTTTTCCTGGGCACAGACTCTGTAAGTGCAGCCAGCTCAACTGTCACGGCTGGACGGGATGAATCCTCTGACCCTCTGTGGAGGGGCTGCCTGGGGAGGCAGCAGAGTGCCTGACTGGACACAGGTCTGAATCCTAGCCCTGCTTCGAGTCCTCCGGGTTTGTCACTCTGTGTGTGAGACAAGAGAGTTCCTCAGAGCTCCCTGGTGGAGACAGGAAGTTCCAGAGGGCTGTTTGGGATGCTGCCAGCACAGTGGCGGGTTCTGGAAATACTACCCTAGAATAGAGTACTTCGGCCCAGTGAGTGTCTTCAGCTGAAGAAATTTGAGAAGGAGCAGGTG